AATGGAGAAGATAGATTCAATTAACAGTTAATAAAAGTTAACCACATGACAACTGAAGTGATTCACTTAACAAGTATGGCAAGAAAGGTAATGGGGGACAGAAATCACTTAATTGTCTTGCTTAGTCACAGAAATTCTGGGCTCAATTGTGGTTGTAAGCTGAGGACTATCTGTACTTTAAAGGAACCTGGCTCCTTATGAACGAAATATGCCTATATCTCCAAGCATACCTTAAGGACTGTGAGAATAAGGGTGGCTGATTGATGAGCCTTGTTCTGAATTTCACCTTGAACACTTTGCCTCTCCAGATACTATCTAGGGGATCGTCTTCTGTCTCAAGGGAAGACGTGGCTGGAATCTGCTGTAGTGGAGCACATTGGGATCTGCTTCCCCAACCGTTTCCCTCAGCAGATGCTGAAGAACTTGAGTGAGATGGAGGAGCAGCAGCAACAGTTTCATCTTTTCCAGTTGCAGCAGTTGGACAAGCATCTGCTGGAACTAGATCAACAAGGAAACCAGGAGGAGGAGGAGGAGGAAGAAAATGAGGTGAAAAGAACAAAGCTAAAGCAAAGTGGCCCTCTCAACTAAAAGTTTTTTTGTCTTCTCAAGTCTCTTTTGTCTGGTTGATTGCTGCCAAGAATGTCTTGTTATTAGTCACAAAATTGATATTGCATCTGTTTTGCTCCCAGATGATGGAGGATAAACCATTTTCTCAAGAGGAAGAGGCAGAAGTGAAGGTATTGGCTTTGTCTCCTCGTTGTTGGACCATCTCTCCCCTCTGCTACCTGGAAGACCCTGCCAGATTTTTCCCATCCTCCCTCAGTCAGCAGCTGAGAAAGTTTGCAGACTTCTATACCCAGAGTGAGTATGAGGCTATCCTTAATCCAAATTGGGTTAGGAAGGAGTGTTCTTTATAGTTCCCACTGAATCCTGGTGTAGTTGTTGGTAAGCAAACCAAAAACTTCACCCAGAGACTTTATAATAAGGGGAGGGGGGTTCACAAACCTTAAAATTACTAGCGTAGATTTCCGCTAAAGAAATTTCAGTAGATTTTTAGAGAGACCATCATAAATATTTATTATCTCTGGAACAACTGATCAATTATAGGAGTAAGGTACGTAGTAATCAATTGGCAAGGAAAATCATATTTAGTTAGAATAACTGTTATCTTAGAAGTAAAAATGTCAGTGTTTCTAAAGTGCAAAGAATTGTGTAGACCCTAAATTTCCAACATGGCTAACGTCACTGGAATATTGCCTGGCACTTGACAAGTTCTGTGCCTACCTCATTTTATTGTTTTAAATTAGAGGTGGTTGGAGATTTAAAAAGATGATTAGGAAACTCCGATAGAGGGTTGCAAAGTATACACTGTTATTTGGCATAATATTTACTTCTAATATCTATGGGGATTCTCAGTCCTCCAGGTCATGGTTGTCCCAAAGGTGCTTTTCCAAGATGCGAATTGACTTTCTTATTTTTCTTTGAAGATATTTCACTTCTCATCCAAGAAGCTTTTTCAGCTCTGTGTTAGTTGTGCCTTCTTTATAAATTCTGTTACCTGTTCAATACTTCTGTTGGTAGAAGTGATTTCAGTTCTTAGAAGTTGTGTTCCATTCTCTCTTTAAAAACCTCAATTGTAAAATTACTTTGTCTTATTTTTTCATTGAGAATTGGAGCTGAAGAAGCTTCTTGGGTGAGAAGCGAAATGTCTTCAAAGAAAAATCAGAAAGTCCAGTTGTCTCTTGAAAAAGCACTTTTTGTTTACTTATAATAATGTTTCTAGTTCCAAAAAGATCCAAATGGTATTGTTAGAAAAAGAAATGGTGGATGGTTGCCACCAGGTTTCCCTTTCTTCTTGACACACTCTTTCTTTATATATCTGTTTTGCTCTTCAATCCTCATTCTCTTTGTAACCAAACCACCTCACTGTACATTTTTATACTGGTCATTCAGTTTGTATTCAGTCAACATTCATTCAACACCCATTCAATACCCATTCAGTATTAACACTATGTGTTCTTGTTTACTTATCAAACTCCTTAATCTATTCTCATTTCATTTCATTAAACTTTTTTCCCTCAGACATATCAACATTTCTATAACAAAATAGGCAAAAACACTGTTTTCAACGCAGCCCTTTTTCATTTTTTCGATACCGTGTTTTCCCGAAAATAAGACAGGGTCCTATTTTCCTTTGACACCCCCCTCCCCAGAAATAAGTCCTTGGCCTTATTTTTGGGGCGTTCTTATTTTTGAGGTGCAGGAGGCAGTGAGGTGGCCACCTCATGGCTGCTGCTTTGTTGCAATATTTTCAGGGAGGGCTTATATTTTGGGGTGGGCTTATTTTAGTACTTGTGCTCAAAAGCCCAATTGGGCTTATTATCCAGGGAGGGCTTATTTTCAGGGAAACGGTATTTCTCACAATGGATTACTGTCATTCTGCCAGTGTTTTGCATTTCTTAAAATTTCTTATCATTTTTTCCTACTTCACAGAGTTATTATGCAGGGAAAACAGGAGTGAAACATTATGCAAAAAACTCCACCTTTAGTTGTACAGAATAATGGCAGGATGTAAAACTTACCATCATTACCCTCAACTTCTGTTGCACACCATCATGCTGTTACCCACCTTTATTAGGGATAAGTAATGTACTCAGTGACCATGAGATGTTTTAATTAATTAAATTTTATAGTAAGGCTCCCTAATTCAGAACAAGCTATAATACAAGGTATAATATTAGAAGCAGATAAAAATAATTATCAAAATATGAAGCAACATAGAAAGGTTGGCATTTATTCATATCAAGAGTACTCCTTGGGAGGTGGGGCTGATGTTGCGATGATACAAGGTACGATCTTGGAGCTCCAGGATTGTCGTCGATATCTCTGCTGCTGGATGGTCCTTTTGGACCTAAACCGTCCCGTAGAGACGATGATAGAGAAGGGCACATCCTGCCGATCCCAGGGACTTCACAAAGTCTGTGGTAGATCCAGGAGAAGCCCTTTTTTCCGGCCACAGAGAAGCAGCCATTGAAGCTGCTGAAAGTTGGGACAGCTCCAGAACGGAAGCAAAGCGGGAGAGAAAGTGTGTCGTATTGGTGAGATAAATTTTATTATTAGAGAAGAGAACACCCAAAAAGATCAAAAGTAAAGTTAAGATTGAAGACAGAAGAGGTTGTGCAAGATTAAGCCTGAGTCAAACTTAGTGTGTTATTTTTTTTTCTTTTTAATATTTTTATTGATGGAATTCTCACAAATGCTTCTTACTTTTTAAACCGGACTGGGCTTATAGAAATATAGAAATGTTTTGATGAGCTTTCAGTGTATTTTTCTCTACTTTTTCTCTTTTAGGCCGGAGCCATTTTGGGATGGAACATACAAAGCCACAACGTTTACAGTGGACATGGCTGGGTCATGCTGAACTAAAGTACCAGGGCTACATCCTGCAAGTGTCCACCCTGCAAATGTATATTCTTCTGTGCTTCAACCATGCGGAGGTCCTGACTACCTTGATTCTTGATATCATAGGAAATTGCTTCATACCTATACTTAGTATTTATCCATCTGCTTTAGTTTTATTGACATTGATTGGGCTAGGAATAGAATAATTGTTATTTAGCCTCTCCATTCCTTTCCCCTGTTTCTGGCTTGTGGAAGGGAAAGCATGTTATTGAAAAATAGAAACGCATATCCTTGCATTTCCCAAGGATTTGTTTTGTACTGAGGCATCAGGAAATTTGGTTTGAACATGCTCTATTTAGATTTTTGTTTGGTACAGATATGTATAATTTGTCCTTTTCATAAGATAAGAATGTTTTCTCCCTGACTAGGGTGAGTGTAGTGGCATAATGTTGGATCAATGACTTTTGTTTATCAGCTTGTAGTCAGCTAGCTATTTTGCCTGATTTAGGCTGGAGGTGGCTTAGGGGTTTTGTTGTCTTTTATTTACTGGCATTGCTTATAAAGACAGAGAATCTGATAATTAAAAATAAAATAAATAAATAAATTTAAGGTGCACACAGTTGTATAGGATAACTTTCAATGAGACTGCTTCTTATAAAAAAAATAGTTTCCTGATATTTTCTACAGTATTTGAATCTTAATATGATCTGAGTTATTCTGAACGGGATGATTGTGCTGAACCATTGGTGATTCTGGATTGATTGATTCTTTCTGCTCTGGACTGGGAAACTATCAGGGGCTCTTCTCCTGGTCAGTAGCGCACATTCCTGTAAACATGGTAGGGTCTCGGAATGGAAGTGTTATTGATTTGCAATATTCTTTATAGTAGGGGCTAAAGACTAGGTGTCACTGCTTTCTTCTTTGTATTCCTTTTTTATATGTTTAACTTTATAGTTTTCTTTTATTGGTTATAGGAAGTTTCTGTGGAGGTACTATTAGAAGTCACAGGTCTCTCCCCTGTCCTCCTAAGTCATGCCCTGAAACCTCTGACAAAGGAGAATGGGATCCTCACCCAGAAGCAGAGTAAGTACAGAGGACATTCCTGTAAAATGAGAGGGGATAATGAGAGTATGTAAGTTGGTCTGAAAATTCAGATGGAATTATGACTTTTATTTGTCTATAAAATATATTCCATCTTAAACTCTTCACAACAGAATCATTAAATAAGCTTTTAGTTGATTTCATGACTCAGTGATGAAGCTTCAATTCAATTTTAGTGATGAAGTTAAAAGAATTTTCTTAGTCATGTGTCACAGAATACAGCTGAATTTAGGAAGGCAAAATTATCTTAGCTCTGCTCAGTCCCTGTCTTCTCTGACTGCTAGGTCTTTTGAGGCTGAATGAGGGGACACTGAGCCAGGCATCCGGTGAGCGCCTGTGGCTCTTGCCCAAACAGATGTATTTGAATGTGGAAGAAAATGAGGGTTGTGCTCTGGAGAAGAAGAGGAATACTATTTGCTGTCTCCTTGTCCAGATCCTGAAGGCAGAGAAAGAGATGCATATTGACAACCTGGTATTTAAGGTATGGAACACAAGGACTTAAGCCCCTTACTGAGTTGGCAGCCAAAAAGAAGATTTTCTTCATTCATTCTTTCTACCTTGTTCAGGTGATTGATGCATGCCAGAAACGGGAGGTTGGCAGTACCCTGAAATTTTTGAACTTTTGCTGTAGTAGCACAGATGTCCTCTCTTGCATCCTGCATCTACTGAGCCAAGGTTACATCCAACGCCAGGAGGATAACCCACATATCCTGGAGTACATTTCGGCAGAGCCCACCACACCTCACCGGGGTCAAGCCCAGCTCATTTTTCAAAACATTAATTACCAAAAATCAAAGATCGCTTCTGGGACAGATACAACCAAAAGGTAATGCTGTATGTTAATGTGCTCTGCATATACAGTAGAAAGTGAAAGCCATCCTTTGTTGTTGTTTTTGTTGTTGTTCTTGATAAGGCTTTTCTTGTCAGATTGGATACCTTTGGCCTTGACACAGAACAGGTTCTGATGGAGACGGTACTCTTGCCTATGGGACGTACAATGAATCAAGAAGAAGTTGAGTTGCTGATGACCCAAACAGTGGAGAAGGTGTCAGATACTCTAAGCGTGACTGCAGATATAGCTCAACATCTGCTGATACACTGTAAGTGGAATGTGGATGTTCTGATTCAGCGATACACAGAAGACCAAGAGTCAATGCTGTTTTTCTCAGGGCTGCAAGTGCGAAATCCTCAGCCACCTTCAAGCCCTGTCACCCACTGTCCAGTTTGTGTGAATCCTCTGAATGAAACAGACGATCTGCCTCTTCTGTGTTGTATGCACTACTGCTGTAAGGTAAGAGCTTCTTTACTACCGTGAAATAGGTATTTGGGAGGGGGAGCAATTTCTTTCGTTCTGTCACAGTAGTAGTGTGTTAGTCTGCCATCTTCCTCTGTAAGCCTGAAACATTTATCTTGTGTTTCATTCATCTTTGTGGATTGCTGTGGACTTTATTCATATCCATGAAAGAACGTTGTCAATATTTAGAATTGGTTTGTTACTAATTTATCAGCTGCATTTATTCACTTAAGAACTGTGGCAAGAAAGGTGATATAGTGACCAAAGTTACAATGGCATTGNAGATTTTGTTTATCTGAATTTTGCCTTGGTTGCGGCTCCATGCATTTTTATGGTTCATTGTACAGTCAGCCAGTTGTTTAGACTAAATTTGGCATTCTTGTTCATCTATTGAGTCCATTCCAAGGACCTGGGATAGGCAGATGCTATTATTAATATTAATAATTTGATTTGATTTGTATGATCACGCATCTCACATAAGTGATTTTGGGTGACTCACAACATATAAGCAATGTATCATGGTATCTTAAGTGCCTGCCTCCTCACTGTATTACTTTTTTATTTTTACATTATGGAATTTATTTGTTCCAATCCAAATAAGCTACATCTTTTTCCTACTGCAGATTGAACAGTGCCTTGCGCCATGAGCAAGTATTTGCCAATCGCTTCCTTCCTGATGATGAGGCTGCCCAGGCTCTAGGCAAAACCTGTTGGGAGGCTCTGATTACTCCCTTGGTGCAGAGTATCACCTCTCCAGGTACTGGTTGCTTCCCTGCGCAAGTCTTTTAAAACCAGGTCTTGCTTAACCCTTCTCATTCCAAGCAGATGTATTAACTGTCTTTCTCTTTCCAGACTCTAGTGGCATAAGCCCCATGTCATGGTTACTAACTCAATACTTGGAAAATCTGGATGCAGCCAAGAATTCCAGGAGCCGAGCTTCCATCTTTAATTCCCGTGTTCGGCGCCTTAGCCACTTGCTAGTGCACGTGGATTCTTCTGGCCCTGAACTTGAGGAGCTGAAACCTCCTGTTAAAACCAGTGAGTGTCCTCCTTTGGGGCAAATAAGTGTAAAGGGGGCAAGTCCTTCTTCCAGTGTTGAATGGTAACACAAGGGTGTATACCCTTGGATATATTGTATGGTCATACTTACAAGAATACATGTCATCTGTAAGATTATACTGTAAAGATTGATGGCATGGAATTATTGACTGGAGAAAAGTTGTAAAGGATTTGGGAAGTTGGAGACAAGTATTTGGGGACTCTGTTAGCTCTGTATGTCAAAAATCTTTTTGCTACAGTCTTGAGAGGGGAAATAATGTAAAATATTCTCTCCTGTTTTATCTTCCTTCCTTTCTATTTTGAATTTAATAGAATGCCAAGAATATGTGAAAACCAGTATCTTTGGGGAGATTGTTGCTTTTTCCCTATCAAATGCCCTGGGTATAGCCAAATAAAATTATCTAGTGTCTGAAAAACCCTCTTTTCTAATAGGTATAATTATAAAGGTACACCAAATTTCTATTTGTCTTACAATCATATAAACGTAATTATTTTGAACAGACTTTTTGGGAAATGGTAATAGAATCCCACCTATTCAGGAGAGTCAATTTGTCGGGTGCTTTAAGGATTGTTGTGTCATACTAAAAACTAGGGATTTGTATGGCTCTTTAATATTGTGTAACATGCAATTTGCAGATGGGAAGAATGGTAAGAACAAGGAATCAAGCTCAGGAGTTATCAAGCCAGCAGTGAATAAACCCTGTGGGATGACAGGCATCACACAATGCTGGAAAGATGTAGTACAGCAGCAGGTAAGGATGGCTGAAAGGTGGTGTTCAGCAACAAGAGGGTGAATGTGTGCATGCAGTAGGGAATCGTATTAATGCAGGCTTTGGGGTCTTTGTACTGACACCTTCTATCATAAGCTATTAGCCAGTTCATTCATGCTTCTTTAGAATTCATGGTACAAGTTAAGGCATCTTTAGAGAACTGTATCAGGAGCTCTGTGGCTTCAAAGAGAGGCTGATGTGAAATCAAGCTCTCATGTGAAACTATGTTTATTCCAAATTTGTTATCTGCTAAGTTAGGTAGAGTTTATTGTTAAATTTTAAGCACATGGCTCCTAGTTGCTTTTAGACAATTATGAATACAAATAAACAGACAATTATTTAAAATATTTAGGTGGACCATCTTGAACAAATAACAATTGGGCTTTAAATTTGCTTGAATCCAATGAAAAATTGTTAAACTTTCTTAACAAAACTTTTCCCAAGTGAGGTCCCACTAAGCTAGTTAAAAAAGTTGAAATGTTGCCTCTCCCTCTTCTCTGTTGTCCAGGTGAAATGTTTCTTGGAGTCCTCCTGGCAGGCCACTGATTTTGTGGAACAATATTGCAGAACCTACCAGCGTCTCCGGACTGCCATGGAGGAGCTTTTTGGACAACAGATTTCCTTCATGCTGGCCTTATGCCATGGTTTCTCTGGAGGCTTGTTACAGCTCTCTTTCCTGACAGCAATGCATGTAAGTCAAGAGATCAGGTAGATATTTCCATAAAACACAGACGTACAACTTGAGACCCCAAATTTGTTTTCTAAAAAAATAATGTGGTTACCCAAGATTTCCAAAAGTAGTTATTAAATTGTAGTTGGTTAATGTGACAGAAAGAAATACATGTTAAATAAATGTTTGGCAAGTAACATATTAATCTGATCTCCAGGTAAGTGAGCAGTTTGCCCGTTACATTGACCGGTGGATCCAACAGAGCTGGGCAGATTCGGGTAACGTGGAGACTTTTCAGTGCCTACAGCAGAGCCTGGAACCCGTCCTCTTCCTAGCAGATCTGGAGTTGGCCAACACTTTTGAGCGATTCTACCGGTGAGGCTTTTGTGGAGAGGAAGAAGGAAGGGAAAGATGAATGTACTACTTTTACTAACAGAGTAGACAGGTCTCAGGTAGGAAGCTTTTTGGCAGTAATGATAAAGCATCTTGCTGCTCCTTCAATCTGGATGAAGATGTCTTCAAGGACATAAATATAGCTCTGTTTTAACGAATTGAGGTACAAGCAACGAATTAGTGAACACCTTGAAGTAAACAAAGTAATANTTTGTAGAGAGCCAAATACAAAACAAAAGAAATAATAAAAAATATTTTTTATCCATATATACTGGTTTGCATACTGTTGTACTTCTCTCTCTCTCACTCACTCACTCACTCACACACTCTCACTCACTCTCTCACTCTCACTCTCACTCTCTCACAATGTCTATGGAGATTCTCAGTCCTCCAGGTTGTAATTGTCCCAAAAGTGCTTTTGCAAGAGGCAATTGGACTTTCTGGTTTTTCTTTGAAGACGTTTCTTTTTCTTTGAAGACGTTTCGCTTCTCACCCAAGAAGCTTCTTCAGCTCTCAGTCTTCAAAGACATTTAAATACAGACTTTCTGCTAAATGGTTTTGAATAATGAAGGAAAACGTTTGGGATGCACTATTCTAATTGATTTTGCTGATTGTTTCATTTATAACATTTTATCTGCCTGTCCTCTTCAGAAAATGATATAACAATATATTACTTAATTGAAAAAAAATTATTAGATTAGTTTATGAAGGGATAAATCTCATCTCAAGAAATTATTAAGGAATAAGGTAGTTATTTTTGCACCCAACATTAGTAAATGTTCTTCTTTTAGGATTAAGGTGCTATTCTAAATAGAATTATCTTTTTAAAAAATAAGAAACCTGTTGAAAACCTGCCTTTTTTGTTAAGAGATTTATAATATGCATGTAACACAAATATCTCCTAGATATTTTTAACAAGAACTCCAAAACTAACATTCATGCATTTTTAATACAGTATGAGAAAGCCCTTCTAAGAGGCTATGTTGAATGCTGTTCAAACCTGACTTGGTGCACCAACCCTCAAGGCTGTGATCAGATACTCTGCAAGGAAGGCCTTTGCTATGGAGAAGCTTGTTCAAAGTGCTCTTGGATCTCCTGCTTCAGCTGCAATTTTCCTGAAGTAAGGTTAACATGAAGCTTGGAGGCAGAGGGTTCTCTCTCTCTCTCTCTCTTTAGAACCATTTATCAGTCTCTGGATTCTTCACAGGCCCACTATCCTGCCAGCTGCAGTCACATGTCTCAGTGGATGGATGATGGTGGTTTCTATGAAGGAATGACTGTGGAAGCCCAGAGTAAGCACCTGGCCAAACTCATATCTAAACGCTGTCCAAGCTGCCAAGCTCAAATAGAGAAAAATGAGGGCTGTCTACAGTGAGTATGTTTTTTCAGTACATTTTTGTATAAAGAGGAAAAAATATATACAAGGAAACTTCAGTAATTTATGGTTTATTTGACAGATTGGATTATTATGCCTTCTCTCTCAAAGACACAAATGATTTGTGTCTTCCTCATTCTAGAGGCAACAGTTTGCAAGACAAAGAAACACCTAGTTGATCAATTTTCTCCATCCTGGTGCCCTTTATATATGTGGGAACTACCATACCTAAACCATTCTGCTGTTTTGGGGCATTTTCCTTAAGTAGTTTTCACAATACCAATCCTATCTCCATTGTCATTTAAAGAGCGTTCTTCTCCCTCTTTAATTATGTTGATATGTGGGTGTTATTCCTTTGAAAAGTTAGAATGGAAAACTTGATTTGATGGACAGAAAGTACTTTCTAGATTTCCTTCTTACATATTAGTTCTTGGTGTCTGGGCACCTTTTGGCTCAACATTTGCAGCCTTAGCTGCTTCTTGTGTGATTTGAAATCTCATAGGGCAAATACAATCCAAATAGAGATTAAAGAATATATATATTTATCATTTAGTGTTTTCACTTACCATGTTTGGATGTAAGGCAGAGCATCACCTGAACCTTACTATGTATCATGTTTTGGAAGAGAAAGTGTTCTCTAGTATTTGCTTTTATTTTAATCCTTAAAGCAATGTTTCTTCCTTTTCTTTTTTAATATTGTAGTGCCATTCTGTATGGCTTTCCGTGTTTTATTTATTTGGTCAATTTATGTGGCCACCCATCTCACAAATCATAAAAAACAATAAAAAAATAAAAAAAACATTACCCACCCCCATAATCTGCTGGAGAATACACTTACGTTCCTATCAACACAGCCACTTTTTAAGCTTCATGTTACTAGATTCAAGCCAGATGAAAAAGCCATGGCTTGAAATGTTCCAGAAGACCAATAAGGTTGGGGCCAATCTGACCTCCGGGGGAATTAAGTTCCAAATGGTGGGTAGTGTGGCAGACAAAATTTTCCTGTTGGGTCCTGGCAGATGACATTTCTTTGTGGAGGGACCTGGATCTTGCTCATTAGTGTGTACTTAGCTGAAAGAGCCCTAGAGTTACTTTTCACATTAATGATCCAAAGCATGAAGTTGGTGGCCACATCTTACTAATGGCCCTCATCTCCATTATATGCAGTATGACTTGTGCCAAATGTAACCATGGATTTTGTTGGCGTTGCCTGAAACCTTGGAAACCAACCCATAAGGACTACTACAACTGCTCTGCCATGGTGAGTGTTTATGCAAAAGACAAGCCCGATATAGGAATATTTTCTTCTAAGGAAATATAAGTAGTAATATGATCTTTTTTTAATCTAAAGTCCAGGTATTTTTTTTAAAATTTATCCTGGCATTTGGTAAATAATATTTCGTTTGTTTTTTATCATTATATTGTATATTAGTTACAAACTCACATTTTAGAAATATAATTACATCTGTAATTTTGGATTTCTTTTCCAATGTATGTATGAAATCCACTTTATATGTTACAGCCTAAGAATTTTTTAAAAAATGTTTGCTGTTACTGTGAGTAAATGCATTCCCTCTCTCTCCTTCAGGTAAGCAAAGCAGCTCGACAGGAAAAGCGTTTCCAAGACTATAATGAAAGGTGCATTTTTCATCATAAAGCAAAGGTCAGGATCACTATTTTTTAGTTGAACCTGTGTCATTAACCATGTGCTTTTATGCATTGGTCATCTTAGAATATTTAGCTGTAGGCCATTCTAGTCATTGAGAACAGTAATATGTCATCACTTCATCATCTGACAAGGCAATTTAGGGAGATCGATTGTTTCAAAACCAATAAATGAAATCAAACCTTGTTACTAGAAAAGAAGATGCCTTTTCTCCGTACTTTCTGCATTTTAGCAGGAAAGTAGAGCTCATGTTCTTTTTCATTTTGTTGTAAATACTCTGCAAGTAATCCTCTTCTACGTTGTTTTTTCAATATTACCCTAGAAGTTTTATATACATAAAAAGGCATAATGTTTTTCCGAGTAATGTAGTAAATAAGAGTAGACACCAAGAAAACTGATGCAGTTCTCATCAATTTCAGGAATTTGCTATGAACTTAAGAAGTAGAGTTTCCACTGTCAGTGATGTGCCACAGATTCGGACCTTGACTTTTGTTGTTGATGCCTGCAAAGTGCTGGAACAAGCACGAAAAGTAAGACCCATCTTTCAATGTATGCTCCATTTTTCTGCAGCATTGTCCCCTTCTTTTCAATTCTGTTTTTTATTTTATACTTTGTATAGCCCCACAAAGGATGTAGAAAGTGTAACAGAGGAGGTCCACATCATGTTCTTATAACTGTATTAGATGGTGAACATAAAAATGAAAGTGGAAATAAAAGTAAATGGTCAAAAATGGAATGGGGGAACAGTGTAAAATTAAGGCTAAAAATGTTATTGCAACATGATATTTTAATGCAGTAGAATGAAGAATAATAAGGTATTTGTAGACAGTTTCATTCTATTCAAAGCCTAAATAGTATTTTGTCAAATTTACATTCAAAGCATACTAATCATAAATGTGCTCTGATTTATTCTGAAACAATTCAGCGATTACTTTAAATTTAATTTACTTTAAATTTTCTCCCTAATTTATTCAGGATTATTTCTCTGCAAATTTCTAAATCAATCAACCCTTCCTTCCTTCCTTCCTTCCTTCCTTCCTTCCTTCCTTGCTTCCTTCCTTCCCATCTTCAAAGAAAAACAAGAAAGTCCAGTTGCCTCTTGAAAAAGCACCTCTGGAACAGCCATGACCTGGATGACTGAAAATCTCCATAGACATTTCTTTGGAAGATACCTTAGAACCGGGATGGCGAACCCATGGCACACGTGCCACAGGTGGCATGCGGAGCCATTTATCAGGGCAAATGGCCAGCTGAATTCACCATTTTTGAAGCCATTTTTCACCCTCCCCAGGCTCCAGAACCTGGGGAGGGCGAAAAGAGCCTCCCTCCCCCCCATAGGCCCTCCGGAGGCTTCATGAGTTTCCTTGAAGCCTCTGGAGCACTCAAAACGATGCTCCGACCACACCAGAAGTGACTTTCGGTAGGCTCAGAGTGTCGTTTTGAGCGCTCCACAGGCTTCAGCGACCTTCAGGAGGCTGCCCTGAAGCCTCCGGAGCGCTCAAAACGATGCTCCGAGCAAACTGGAAGTCACTTCTGGTTTGGTCGGAGCGTCATTTTAAGTGCTTCGGAGGCTTCAGGGAAGCCTCCTGACTGTCGCTGAAGCTTCCAGAGGTCCTCCGGGGGGATGGGGGGGCTGTTTTCGCCCTTCCCGGGCTCCTATAAAACCTCTGGAGCCTGGGGAGGGTGAACAGAGCATGCAAAAAAATGGGGATGGGAGCACCTTTAGTTCGTGCATGCACACTGGGGGGTGTGTGTGTCACACATTGCATTATGAGTGCGGCATGCCCGCACATGACCCGCCTGCACTCCCCCCATTTATGGCACGCGAGCCAAAAAAGGTTCGCCATCGCTGCCTTAGAAGAATCTATAGTGGCTTTCAGAAAAAAACAACTCCAGAATGCTTTTTCATTCTTAGTTTTTCTTTGGATTCTCATTACAAAGCCTTTGTCATTCTATGGATGTTCCATAACTGTATTCATAAAAGAAATAATATAAAAACATGGAAATTTACCCTAGCATTATTTCCCTCCAAGCACCTATGATTTAAATTTGAGCTACGAAATATTCTTTTCTCTCCTGCTCTAAGTAGGAAAGTGGTACTATGGTGTAACAAGCTTCTTCCAGTTACTTCATTCTAATTATCTTCTAGGGGAATATCATAGGAGAGGAGTAGAGTTGTTGGAATGTGGGGTCATTATCATCTCTCTCTGCCCCTAATGAAACCATTGGATAGGTTCCAACTGGAATCTATGATTTATATGCGTTGTGATACATGATGTGTTTCAGGTCCTGGCATATTCCTGCATCTACAGCTACTATAACCAGGACACAGAAAAAATGGATATCATGGAACAACAATCTGAGAATCTGGAGCTGCATACTAATGCTTTGCAGATCCTTTTGGGTGAGCCATTATTGACATGCAAATAATTGTCATTTATTTGAGACAAGTTCAGAGAATACTGGCAATATTCGTAATATGGATTTTTTTTAAAGTCTACATAATCACCAACAAAAGGGATAGTGTTTATGTAGTTAAGAAAAAATGGAATAATGACTAATGAGTAAAAAAAACAAAATAAAGACTAATAGGAACAATAAGTAACTATAAGTAATATTTTCCAGTCATTAAGCTTATTAACTCTGGACTATATAGCAACATATTCCATTTCATTTTTAGAACAAAGACTTTCCAGAATTAGTTAAATTCATATCCTGGATTCATTCCTTAAAATAAAAAGTAAGTTTATTTCCAGTTGCATAAAATTATCCTCCGCTGTATTTGTAGGTTCAGAGATGTAAACCTCTTTGCTTTTTTACAAAAATGTATTGCAGTTTTCTAAAACACATGAATAGAAAAACATTCTGGGAGTTGAAGTCTGCCAGGCTTAAAGTTGCCAAAGGTTAGAGATCCCTGAAATAAAGAATAAATAGAAAAACAATATTGAAGAAAAATAAATATTTAAACAAAAAGAAAAGTTAAGCAGATAAACAGAAAAAGAATTCTCCCAAATTAAGGCAATAAATTAAGATAAATCACCGAAATATATCACATAGTCAATTTCATAAAAACAATATATAAAATTGTGCACAGCAATTTGTCTTTTCTTGAAATACATGAAACTGTTAAATGGAAAACATGCTATTTTTTAATTACTAGAAAAAAGTAGCCATTTCAAAAAGGATTCCAAGGATCCTAAAGTTTCCAGATCCTCAAGCCTGTTAACATTTCATAAAAATCTAACATCCATTCCTTTTCAAATGTGATTTGAAATAATATTTCTGATGAATTAATTTCATTTTATAGCAAGTTTATTTGGCTTTTGTTTTTACACTTGGGTTCGTTCATTCGCAAGTGCTCCCGTTTGGAAATGGATCTGCTTTTTCTTTCAGAGGAGATGCTGTTACACTGCCAAGATCTTGCCTCTTCCATTCGGTTGCTCAAAGCAAAGCATTTTAGTATTGGTTTAGAGTTGGTTCGAAGGATCCAAGAACGGCTCCTGTCAATTCTGCATCATGCTACTCAGGTAATATCTGCCTAGGCAAGATATATATGGTAGTAAAGGCATTTTTGCTAATTCAGTATTGCAGCAAAAATAAATGTGCTAAATCATTATATCTAAATTCTTAATGGTTCCATTTTCTTTAGGAGAGTGTTTCTAGCATCTTGCTATATCCTTTCAATCTTTTATTTTGTTGCAGGATTTCAGAGTGGGATTCCAAACTCGACAAAGCTCCGAACAGGGTGGGATTAAGTTATCCAATGTACTTAATGGCACTTCTGCTTATAAACAGTAAGTTTTCTTATGGCGATATGTGAATAGTAAGTTGGGTGTCAGGTTTCTAGTGAAAAGCAGTCTGGCTAAGAGAAGCCTAATTCAAGCATGCCAGCAACTATTCAGATAGATGGTATTTCTCAGTGGTTCTCAAACAAATTGATTTATGACTATAGTTGAGTCTACCCATTACAGTCATAAGTTGTGATAGTCCTAAAGTGGGTCAGCTATACTTGACTGATCTGATTATATGTCCTTTAATGTGACAATTGCTAAACAAAATGCTGCAGTCGTAAAGCAAACCCATTGTTTGCTATAAGTTGACTTTACTGAAAACCTGGGGTAAATGTCAGTTTTCAAGAAAACTGTTTCAAAACATGTCCATGTTACTGTCGGATGCTGCATATGGCTTCCAATGTGAGCCAGTTGCCTGATGTCTGATTACTTGACCAGAGGGATGACTGTCAGACCTACAGAATTGGGTTGAAAGTACCCTGAGGGAGATCAGTTTAACTTCAAACGGTCGCTATGCAACCAGTCGGAAATTGAGGATTACCTATACCAAAGTACTTTCTGTCAAGCAGGAGATGATTTCCTTCTTCTACATATAAAATAACATATTTTCCATAACAAGCCAGGTATATTTGAATTTCAGGTATTTAAATCAGTGATGTGATATATATAGATTTGGAACAAACAAGATGCTTTTGGGAGCAACAAAGGAAGCCATATTTTTGCTGCTCCTTGAGTAATGTAATGTATTATTATCATTTCTCCAGTTCATGTAGTGTCAGTATAACAGTAACCTCTTGCATCTCTTAAAATAACATTGGTAAAAACAAGTACGGAGTTGAATTCTGTTACAGTTTAGAAAATCTTAATATAAAATATTATATTATATAAATATAAATATATTAGTATAAAAATATTAATTATGAATGTTAGTATTTAAAGCAGAGGCAGGTAGTCTGTTTATGTTTATGGATTATATTACTTTCAAGTAACTGAAGGCAGTATCATCATGTCATGTAAATGGAAAGTCCCTGTCTTGCTTTTTGTTTGCCCAATTTTAGAAAACCTTTTAAAAATGGTTTTATATTCAGTAAGCCTATCCATTCTATAGTTCACTAGTCCCTTGCTAAAAATCAGTAGAAATCAATACTAGTGAATTTTAACAGCAATGTTGACGGAGGTTCTGAGTTGACCCCCAAAAATATGGTTTAGGGACCCCCAATAGTTAATCAAGAAATTCCTAGTGAGGAAAGTCCTTATTAGCTCACGTCAAACATATTGGGGTGTAAGTCAAGTTTGATTCAATAAGTATCCTGTTGGAATTTAGCTGACTACTGTAATGCAAAAGTAAAATGATGCTAAATTTGTTTCTGCACAGGCTGATTTTTTATGAAGGATCTGATTCACCTGATACAGATGATGGGGGCAAAGAGGAAGATGAGGAAGATGAGTATGTTCCAGAGTGGCAAGAATATGATGAAGACCTCGATGATGATGATGATATTTCTTATGACGATGAATCAGAAAATCTAGAGAGAGATTGCTTTTTTTTTGACGACGAAGATGAACCATTTGATTAGAGTTCACCTTTGGACTTTCCAAATTCTGAAGAAGAGGACCTTCAGGCGACCTTGTCCCTGCTAATTCTGCTACTATCATTGTCACAAACTGCAGGGAGAGAATTTCAGTTAATTGGGAGTCAATTATATGATCGTTTACAATTAAGGGCACCTTGACTTTGAGATAGATCTTTGTGGCTATTGGAAAATTCACAGTGCCTGATTACATACAAAGTTAATTAGCCAAATAAACAAATGAAAAAGTTGGGGAGCAGTGAGGCTGCAGGACTGCAAACTTTCTTAGAGAATAAGATAAGGCTCCGGTCTAGTAAAAAGACCATTGCCTCAACTCCAATGCAGGCTTCAATTTTAAGAGAGCGCTGTATATCATCAATTTATGTGAAAGTTTCCACAGCATCCCTTCCCATATTCCCTGTACCTTATTGCCCATTAGCTCATACTTACTTACCCAGAGGTTTTATTTGATAAAAATATATCTGACTTTATTATTTTGCCCAGCATTGAGTTAAAATTCTAGGACCTAATAGCAATACAGCCTTATTTATGAGTGCCCATTCAGTTTTGCTCTCCAATAGTGATTCATACAGTAAATACATGGAAGCATGAATGTGTGCGTGTGTATGAACACAAGTGTACATAAATATGCAAAGTCTCTAAAGAGGCTTCTTGTCTGCCTGAACCATTTTCATTTCCATTCTAACACAGCTCCAAAACAATGAACGGAGATTTTGATTTCATTGCAATATAAATTATTCTACAAGATTCAGTGCCAGGGACAATGATATTCTCTAATTAGTGAAAGGGCAATTTAGGAGATTGATTGTGCGTGAATCACTTGAATTGCATCTCGTTTGGACAAAAATTGTGTGTGCTGGTGTGCATACGTGCGGATGCACGCTTGCATATAATGTTTGCTTATGAATGTTGGTAAACTGGTGTTTTTTTAAAAAGTAAAACAACTCCCAAACTTAGTTAAAATGCCCTACTATGACCCTATTGGATAAATCTGTAGGTTGCTTATGTTTTGAACTGAAATGGTTTTGTATTTTGTATGGAACTCTTTCATGAAGATATTTTTTTTCTTTAATGTTCTTTTGCCATTTGGAATGCACTCTGCAGGTGGGAATTCTGCAGGATATAGACGTTCAGAGGGTTCATATATACAATATAAACATATGTATACATACATATATATGTGTGTGTATGTGTATGCAGGAGCTAAAATTGTTCGGAGTATTATGCTTTCTCTTTTTTTGAAAATGAAAAAGAACCCCAAAATTATACAACTTCTGTTTATGAAATAAACTGGTTTTCTTCTGTTTCTCTTTTTATATGCTTTTCTTTGATTCTGCTTTGCTATTCTTTTTTAGTGCCAAAATATTTAATGGGAATGGGGAGGTTGTTGTTGGGAGAAGCCTCATAATCTTGGAAGTATCTAGTTAATAGAAACCTTTGCCATGATGCCATTTTCTCAGTTTCTCCAGCTCAACAGATTTCTAATACTCCATCGTTTACAGAGAACAGAAGAGTTTGTATGTGCAATGTCACAAGATCCATCTGTTACACTCTAGAGCAAGTGTGGGGTATAATGGGATGTAGAAATGACTTGTGAGAAAGGAGGAAGAGCCATAGACTACACAACCAACATGTAAAAGTCCATTGAAGCAGAGGGAATGTGGAAGGTGTTTTAGAAGGGACTCTTCCTAATATTCTGAAGACTAAAAGAAAAAGGAGAAATACTTTCAGACTTGCAAGAATCTGTTAATGCAACCTTACAATAAAGATAGAGCTAGTATTCATTATCATGCTTCTTGTCTGAACTATATCTGATTCAGAGGTGGTATTCAGCCAGTTCGGATTAGTTCTGGTGAACTGGTAGTGGAAATTTTGAGTAGTTCGGAGAACCAGCAAATACCACCTCTGGTTGGCCCTCCCCTCCCGATCCTGCCTCCCTGTCCTATATTCCCTTGGTTTTAGCTCAGCGGATTGCTGCACCTCAGCTGAGCTAAACAACAACTTAACTCACCAGTTCTGACACCAAGGGTGGTCTTTGAGTGTTGCATGCAAAGCGCGTGTTATGTGCACGTGCACGCAAAGTGTGTGCGCACGCACAAGCGCTCTCTCAGAACCAGTAGGAAAGGATTTGGAATCCCACTGTTGATCTGATTTGACCCAAAAACAGTTTTTAAGGAAAAAAAATAGCATAAGTTTCCAAAGTGGAAACAATTTTGTAGTAGTGGATGCCTATCAGTTATGAAAACTTACAAATACAGAGTATAACACTCACCATTTTCTCCCCTAAAAGAGGGTGAAAATTTGGGTGCACCTTATACACCGAATGTAGCCCTGTCTACCCTTTGGTCTCTGCCTCTCAGCAAATTTATCTCCTTGCAGCAAATGGGAAAATGGGGTTTGCAGGACGGCTATAGGCTATGGCAATCCCTGCAGCCTGAAACAGCTGATCATGGGGAGGCCTGTGCTGAAACTGAAAGTGAAACTGCTGTTTGCTTTTTGTTGCAAGGGGCAAATTGCTGGGAACAGGCAGATTTTTTTTTCTTCTAATCAGGCTAAACTGAAACAGGCTGTTTGCTCTTTGCTGCAAGGAGGTAAGTCAAAAATTATAAATGCCTATAGAATGTTCAAATTATTAGACTTATTTTTTAAAGACTGCTTTATTATTGTTCTATTGTTCTTAGCAAAATGAAGCTTTTTAAAATAAATGCTTGATCTGAAGAGGCCCAGTTCTATTGTAGCTTCTTTTAAATAGCAGAGAATAACGTATAGTTCCAGAAAGCCACATCAATTTTAACAGCATCTGTATAAGTATAGTCTGAAATGTAACACTACAAATATTGTATATCGTCTGTACTGTTTGCTGTTTGCTGCAAGGAGGAAAATTGCTGGGAGGCAGAGGTAGATTCCCCCTCCCCCATTTTCCTCCACAAAGCTAAGTGCGTCTTATATTTCAGAGCGTCTTATACTCTGAAAAATACGGTATACATCACTTGTTAGCTCATAAGGAGATAAGGCATTAGTGATAGGTAAAACATGTTTTTGAAATATTTTAGAGAAAAATATATATAGCTTGCGTACATTAAAAATAAGACATTGTAAAGCTGCTCTTTGTTACCTCCCCACTTTCAAAATGCATATATAGGATATTTGGAGCACAAACCTTTGTTTTGAATTTACAAATCAGATATACATTTCAAACAACCAACATTGAGAATCATTGGCTAGATTTGCACATGCTGAGACATTGTTAAATGATAGTTGACAAAGGCACACTTAAGATTTTACACACCTTATGAAAGCATAAACCATATTTATAAGCCACAATGCTTGGGTTCACATACTGCTCTTAAATAAACTACATTAAATTTGGTACAATATATGCACTCAGCCCCTTAATTGCTTGGTTGAATACCATTGTTCTGATGAAAACCAAACATAGCCTTTCCTAGAAAAATGTCCATAAAATATCAGTTTAAAAAATGGTTCAAGAATGCCCTAATATGACAGTTTGTAAAGAAGAACCCATGTTTACTAAGAAAATGTATTGAATATCATCGCTCTGATGGGTGTGGTTTTGAACCTGGAGGTATGCAGATGTGAAACTATATGCTGGAAGAAGATACCAGCGCATCATATGAACAGCACGGTTTTGAGATGTATGGATTCTCTTAACAGCTACATTGAATGACATGTGAAATGTACTAACAATGATACCAAGAATGCACATGTAAAATTGCGAAGGTAGAAGCAAACATCACCTGTTACAGGGAAAACAATAGACTTCAACCTCTTGTGAGGGGGGGATGCCCATTTTGCAGTGATATATCAATCTTTACAATCAACAGTGGACTTGATACCTATATGTCTACTCTAGACAAAACTTGCAATTACCCCCTTGGGTAATTAAGCCCCTTATTTGGGACTTAATTACCCATGGGGGTAACTCTTTCCAGGCAAAAGATTTTTGGAGTGATGGGTGAACTTTTTAAGAGCTGTCAGATCTGAAGTATCAAGGGGCAATTAAAATGTCCAAGTAGGAGATTACACCCCAACAAAGAGAAATATAGAAGAACTTTCTGACTGTGTTTTGGGAAAATTGAAGAGGGTGGATGTGTCAAAACAAAGAAAAGGGAGAAGGCAGGAACAGAGAAGTGGGACAAGAGACTTACTAGGAAAAAATCAGACAATTAGAAATTGTTATATGGGAAAATACAAAGCTAAGAGGTTTATTCCTAAATATGACAATAAAATGGAGTTGCTAACTGGTTGAATATGATATTGGAAAGATAATTAAAGGTTAAAATATATGGAATATGGACAAATGTGAAACTGAGATGGGGAGATTGTAAAGCAGAGGTCTGTGATTCACTTTTATACATGATAATTAAACTGAGTTGCTAATCACTTGAATATGACAAAGAAGGACAATTAAGCATGGTTAAAATATATGGAATATGGACAAATGTGAAACTGAGATGGGGAGATTGTAAAGCAGAGGTCTGTGATTCACTTTTATACATGATAATTAAACTGAGATGCTAATCACTTGAATATGACAAAGAAGGACAATTAAGCATGGTTAAAATATATGGAATATGGACAAATGTGAAACTGAGATGGGGAGATTGTAAAGCAGAGGTCTGTGANATTGTGCGATTGTTGTGTTTTCTTTTTTTAACATGCTGTATTGTCTATTGTTTGTCTTTTCCCCCTCCCTTTTTGAATTGTGAGCCGCCCTGAGTCCCCTCAGGGAAAAGGGCGGCATACAAATAAAGGCAAAACCAAAACCAAAACCAAACCAAACCAAATGGTTGCTAAATGAGACGGTTGATAAAAAGGATTACATGCAATATTAAAACGGTTATTACACTGATTTTTTTTATCATAAGTGACTAATTAAGGGGCAAAGAAGAAATGCAGAGTATGGCATACTTTATTGCAAGTATATATTAATACTGGATGTATATATCTTCAAAAAAATAATTTCCCCATGACTCCTAATTAATTTTGCTTTACATTCCAATTAAGAAATTGGGTTTCTGCAAACTATATCAAAATCATCTCTAAAAATCATGAAACTCTATTACTGAACTATCTAAAAAAACTTCCTAGAAGCCCTTTTAATGCGTTAAATTAAAAAAAAAAACCACTACAAACATCCAGGAACAGCAAATCCAATTCTCTTTAATGCTACTCATTATCAATAGATCTTTTACACACATTCTCCCCCACACACATTCTCTCCCTCCCCAGAGATAAGGGGAAAGGATGACCATCTCAATTTGCAAACACTTGAATAATGAGTGTTCTCCAAGCATGATAAATGAGCACACATTTGGTTAAAAAAGTACTTACAACCCACTCAGAAGCGGAGATAAATTATCATCACCCTTTACAGGACCAAGAAATGAATCTAAAGCACAATTATAGCAACATTTGATTATCAGGGGAAAAAATCCATAATGTGTAAATATCATATTATTATTATTATTAGGGTTGGTCGCCCAGTCAGCCAGATGTTTAGACTGGATTTGGCAGTTTTATTGTCCACCTATCGAGTTGAGATAGGCAGATGTTTTTAACAAAGTTGAAGATATCATTACAGATGTTAAACTCGTCTGAATAAACTTTTTTTTTTTGGCAACTGATTGATAGGGATTTTTGTCAATTGTTCAAATGGTGCTCACAGGTTTTGGAATTGCATCCAAGGTGTCTATTACTATAGGTAGTCCTCGCCTTACGACTACAATTGTGCCCAAAATTTCTGTTGCTGTTGCAGTGAGACAGTTGTTAAGTGAGTTTTGCCCCGCTTTACAACCTTTCTTGCCACCGTTGTTAAGTGAATCACTGCAGGAGTAACACAAAGTCACTTCACAATCTGGCTTCCGCCTTGAGTTTGCTTGACAGAAGGTCGCAAAAGGGGGTCACATGACCCCAGGACACTGCAACCATCATAAATATGAGTCAGTTGCCAAGCGTCGGAAATTTGATCATGGGGATGCGGCAACGATTGTGTGAAACATGATCCTGAGTCGTTTTTCTCAGTGCTGTTGAACGGTCACTAAATGAAGTGTTGTAAGATTATACCTGTATTGCACCACCTTTGCTTTCTTTTGCCACTCACTCTACTTCTATTTGTAAATATTTATCATTTGGGTACCTGTTCTGACCCCCCTCATCCCACACCAAAACACTCCAAGCCAAAGATACTTTACGGAATTTATTCACAGACAGACAGGTCCTTGTCAGCAAACCAACAGATAAGCCGGGGCAGCAATCCAGCCAAGCTCACAATACTGTTCATCAA